ATAACTCAATATTTCTGCTACATCTCATTTGAAACCTTGCAGATATCCAAAGAGTTCCAAATCCGAGCTAAGTCTATAACAAATAAGGATAACTTGGAGTAATACCGTTGCCACTCCAACTTCAAGCTGTAACTAAAGCTAAGCCCCACTTTCATGCTGTTACTGTTGTTGCTCCTGCTTCTGCTCCTGCTGCTGCTCCTGCTGCCTTTGTCACTGGCTTGACTTGGAGCACATCGTTAGTGGCGCCGTGAGTTGCCATAGCCACTGATATATGACATTTTGGCTGCTTGAATTTGCGAACTAATCAAGTGCAGTGCCCAGATATGGTCGTGCCCCTAGACCAGCAGTCAGCATGCTGAATCGCTTATTGCACAGCCGAGCCACCCACTGAGCCACCACCCACATTACGGCACTCTCCATGCGATTGCAATTTCGGGCGGCTTTTGCAGGTAACAGCAGCAAACAGCAATAAACCGAACTTGAATACGAATGCGAAAGTAAGTCCCGTGCTTTGTATCAATACGGATAGTCAACGAGTCTCCCCCTCTCTTTCTCTCGCTCTCTGTGTGTGTGTGCCGGGACACGCCCACCAAATGACCAACCAGCTGGCTGCTCATTGAAATGGAATCTAATCGGCTTTTGATTTTACAAGTCCTTTTCACAAAGTTTGTCAGTGGCTGCCGCTTGGCTCGATGTGTGTATTACTTACAACACAGATGCATACATATACATATGTATACACATATAGAAATAGATGTGTATGTGTGCAGTGGGTAGTGCTGGGGTTGCGCCGGAAAGTCTAGCACAGCTCGTTGCCATTTTGCACTCGGCATAAGTATGCAATATCCGTTTCCGTTCGTTACGTTTGTTACAGGCTCGAACTTGACTCCCCACTGTGGTGCGGTGGTGCGGCGGTGGAGTGGTACGGCGGTGCACCTATGAAAACTGAAGTACCTCAATGCTTATACACTTTTCACTGCAGCAGGTGGCAACGAGAGCAGCGCTTATTGTAATAAGCACGAGTCAAAGTGCAATTTCTTTGCAAGCTTCCCACAGTACATGAACAGATTAAGAGGGCTGTTAGAATAGTTTGCCGATGCCGTAGAACATATAATTTTTATTTGAAAAAATATGAATAATAATATAAATATAAATATTATCTGCATTATTTGAAAGCTCCAT